AAAATTAATCACTGCAATAAAATAAGTCTGTTTTTGCCACTTTATAGTGGATTACATCAACTCTGTTACATTGCAGAAAGGAAACTTCACCAAAGTGAAACGTAAATCTGTGGATCTGTGTTTGATTACTCTGGCTGGCTTTCTCTAGGACCAGGACGTGTGACACAAAAATCTGCATTTTAGAACTGAAATTGAATTATGGAACTGAAAGTGAAAGTATTCAAACTGATTTTTTAATAGACCAAAATACAGTTTCAAAACAAATTAATTCAGATACAAAACTTTATATTCAGTTTAAAACCAATAAATTCTGTTTCAATTTAGTGACATTTATTTTCAAACCAATGCATTCAATTTCAAATTATGCACATTCAGATTCAATCTGAGCAATTCAGATTCAATTCCTGTTGGCACAAGAGTTATCCCATAAAAAGGAGCATTCCAGAAAGGCTCAGTCATTTACAAACAAATATGGGGCGAGGTTCACCACCTTTTTTAGTTTTTTAAAAATTCACAAATCCAAAACAGGAAAAAGCCCAATCGTGTCCTATTTTTATCCAGCCTGGCCCTTGCCTTCCTATCCAGTTCCACTCAATTCTAGTTTCCCTTCACTGCTCCGTTTGGGATTTCTCCCATAGACAAGGGTTTCGCTGGCAGATTTTTAGCCAAACCAATCAGAGAACAGAACGTAGATTTTCGGCGCAGTGTCTGCTTGTAGTTTATTTTACCTGGGCCAATCAACAAACAGAAGGTGGAGTTTTGAACGACGTCGATTTTCTGCGCAGTGTTTGCTAGTTAGTTAGCAATGGCAGTGGAGGAAGTGAATGAAGCCAGTCCGTGTTGATGAGGCTTCCAAATTAAATAAAATTTGTCTGACAAAGCAGCAGCTCTCATTTACAGCCGTCTCGTTTGGCTCGGTACTTCTCTCCTCTCCGTAGGGTTGTTTACAGCGCATGCGATTTCCAGTTAGCTTCTTAGCTTAGCCTCCTTCACAGCAACATATGTCGCGGCTAACCGATCCAATCATTTTAAACTTCAGCAGAGGCCACGCCTCCAGCAAGAATCGCTTCTCTATAGCAGCAAGTCTAGACCCTCGTACGAAGCAAAGTGAAGGACGAGGGTCTAGTTTTTACCAGGCTAATTTTTATCATCACAATAAAATAAACTACTCTTTCCAGCATATAGGAATAGTTTGGCAGTTTGTGCTCATTATTACCATCTGAAACAGGACTAATGGTTTATTTTACACAATATACACTATTTGTATGTTATTGACTTTTATATTTAAGTAAATTTGAGTAAGGAGTTCTAACACATAGTATTGAAAAGGATCTTAAGGTGACAAGATGGGAGATTTAACTTACCATTTTGATCACGTTTTCATTGACAGGCTTGATAGCCTCGACAGAATCGATGGTGATGGTGCAAGCCTCCTCCACAGCCAGTTGACGTTTAAAACGCTCCTGGAGGTCCTCTTGGGTGAAGTCAAGTTTGGGGAAGGAGTGGGTTTCCCTCTAAAGCACATAGACCAGACAAAGACACAAAGAAGAGAGAAATTATGCCTCTAATACTGAGGACATATTTGCTTCAAGCTTAAGGTCCCAAACAGCGAACACTGGCATAAATACAACCTTTGCTGCTGAACAAAGACTCCATTATTCATGTTCTAACATGACACACACGGTGTGAACTGCCAGCTTTCCTAAACTCACTTGTAAACAAACTGGTGTTATTATAAGATCCAGCTGAACATTACACAGCAAAGAAGGAAACCTGCAGCTTAAGGAACATGTTTTCCACCAGCTGATTGCAGATGACCTCATTTAAACTCGCAGGTGCATGAAAACCAAACCTATGTGAATGCTTTAAACCATCTGTGCACTGTGTGGCCTTCATGTGCATTACAGTTACATGGTGAATATGTCTGTGTGTATTCACACACCCAACCTTTATGTTGCACAGGTGCACAGCTACAATCTGCATATTACCTCCTAATGGCTCTAAATACACAGTTCTGTATAATTCATGGTTGTTATGATTCAAAAAGTGGAGGTAAGAAATCAACTTGACAGATTCTTACAAATTACTAAGTGAAAGCTAAAAGCTGTGCTAAAATCCCTTAGATTGCATGGACTTTAAAGAGGAGTATCATGCAAAATCGACCTTTTGAGCTTTATATCATGTTATGTCATTTTGTCGTCAAACGTATAACCAGAATGTTGCTTTGATTCATTTATGCATGTTCGAGAAATCATTGAATCTCCTGTGGCAGCTATGTAAATAAGTAAGTAAGGAAGTAAAGTTTTATTTATAAAGCGCCTTTCACAGAAATATATTCACAAGGTGCTGTACAATCATTAACAGTATAAAAATGGTGAAAAGAATAAAATGAAACAGAAAAACAATTACACATAAGCAACGAAAATTGAAACATCAAATCAGGAATTAATTTCAAAAATTGTAAATCAAACACAAGGTCAATACAGGTCAAAATATACAGTAATACACAAAAACATAATGAATGTGGGAGAGAAAATATGGTGTAAGTTCAATAGTAAAGAAAACAAAGATTAGCGAAGCATTCACAATGGAGGTAGGCTGGCAGTAATGGTGAAATGGTTAGCTAAATGCTTGAGAGAAAAAAGTGAGTTTTAGGAGTGTCTTGAAAGAGACAATGTTATCAATGGAGTGCAGATTAAAAGGGAGTTCATTCCAGAGCCTGGGGGCCACAGAGGAGAAGGCAAGGTCACCACAGGTCTTAAAGCGAGTGAGGGGAACCATAAGGAGATGTTGATCCTGTGAGCGGAGGTCCCGTCTGGGGTTGTAAGGGGAAATGAGACTTTTAATGTATTCTGGGGCTTGGCCATGAAGAGCTCTGAAGGTGAGGACAAGGATTTTGAACCGGAAGCCAGTGAAGTTCTGCTAGGATTGGGGAGATGTTAGCCTGGCCCTTGCCTTCCTACGCAGRTCTGCTCAATTCTAGTTTCCCTTCACTGCTCCGTCTGGGACTTCTCCCAATGAGATGGATTTCACTGGCAGATTTTTAGCCGGGCCAATCAGAGAAGAGAACGTCAATTTTCTGCGCAGAGTCTCTTGTATTTTATTTTACCTGGGCCAATCAGCAAACAGAAGGAGGAGTTTTGAATGACGTCGATGTTCTGCACAGTGTCTGCTAGTTATTTTAGCATAAGGCAGTGGAGGAAGTGAATGAAGCCAGTCTGTGTTGATAAGGCTTCCAAATTAAAATAAATTTGTCTGACAAAGCAGCAGCTCTCATTTATAGTCAACTTGTTCGGCTCAGTACATTTCTCCTCTCAGTAGGGTTGTTTACAGCACACGCGATTTCCGGTTAGCTTCTTAGCTTAGCCTCCTTCACACCGACAACACACATGCTTCAGCAGAGGCCACGCCTCCTGTAAGAAAGGATTCTCTATGCAGCAAGTCCAGACCCTTGTATGAAGCAAAGTGAAGGACAGGGTCTGGTTTTAACCAGGCCAGGGAGATGTGGGTGAATTTGGAGGTTCGGTTTAGGAGTCTTGCTGCCGAGTTTTGGACAAGCTGAAGACAATTTAACTGTTTCTGGTTAAGACAGGTGAACAAGCTATTACAATAGTCTAAGCGGGTAGAAATGAAGGCATGAATTACCATTTCCAAGTCTGAAGTGCACAGCAGGGGCCGGAGTTTTGAGATATTATGGAGCTGAAAATAGCAAGTTGAAACCAGATTCTTTATGTGTTTATTTAGTGCAGTGGTCCCCAAACTACGGCCCGCGGGCCGGATCCAGCCCGCCCCCTCATTTGGTCCAGGCCCCAGAACAATACCAGAGAGCATTTAGTTTTTTTTTTTCATATATGTGTATTTATATTTGATTATAAAGTTGGACATTTGCAATAAAATGTTTCTTAGTTATGAACTATTTTCCTTATTAACTATTATTAGTTAGTAACTACTTCATACATACACGCAAATAATGTGACATTCTGTTCCACCCGTCTGCGGTCTGTGCCCCTATCTGGCAACCCCCAGAAAAAAATCCTAAGCCCGCCCCTCTCAAAGAGAGAATGGAATAATGGCYAAAAGATTAGGTAAGAGAAAWWTTGATTCAGAATGCAGGGSATTTAAGCTGCAMTGGACAAACSATTATTTTTTTGTTCAATGCAAAGAAAAGGCTGTCTGTCTCATCTGTCAAGAGGCGGTGGCGGTATTAAAAGAATACAATCTGCGGTGACACTATGAATCCCGTCACAAAGACAAGTATGCTAGCTTGCAAGGCTAAATGCGAGCAGACAAACTTTCAAAGCTTAAAAAGTGGACTTTTTGCTCAGCAGAATACATATATTCGCAAGCTCAGCTGAACCAGTCATCTGTTTGGGCCAGCTTTTGGGRTGCTCAACTGATAGCAATCAGCGGCAAACCTTTCACTGATGGGGGAGTTTGTCAAGAAATGCATGAACGCTGTCGTGGAGGAGGTGTGTCCCGAGAAGAAAGATGTCTTTAATTCCGTGAGTCTTTCAGCGAGTACAGTCACCAGACGCATTGAAGAAATCGGGGGTAATGTATATGCCCAGCTGCAGCAGAAGACGAAAGAATTTGAATTTTTTTCATTAGCACTGGATGAGAGCATGGACGTGCAGGACARCGTGCAGCTGCTCATTTTTATTCGTGGAGTTAGCGCAAACTTTGAGATGTGCGAMGAGCTGACAGCCCTCCAAAGTCTCAAAGGGACTACGACGGGGGAGGATATTTTCAGCAAAGTGTACCAAACCATGGAAGAGTTGGACCTGGACTGGRCAAAGCRGGCCAGCATCACAACTGACGGGGCTCCTAGTTTGGTGMGGATGTCTRGGGGTCTAATAGGACGCATGAACCGGGAGATGGAGGAACGRYGTCTRGCCGCCCCGCTACAAGTCCACTGCCTAATTCACCAGCAAGCACTGTGCTGAAAAGTGTTGACGTGGGATTCTGTCATGACGGTTGTGGTTTCATGCATAAACTTGATCAGAGCAAAGGGGCTTAAACACAGGCAGTTCCAAGAATTCCTGTCTGAACTGGAATCTGCGCACGGAGARGTGCTGTYCTACACAGAGGTCCGATGGTTGAGCCGAGGCAGAGTTTTGAGGCGTTTTTACGAGCTGCTACCTAAAATTAACGCATTTCTTCATTCACAAAACAAAACGGTGCCYGAGCTGATCGACCCAGAATGGAAATGGKACCTCYCATTTTTAACAGACATGAKAGAAATGCTGAARAGCTTTAACTTGRAGCTACAAGGCCAGGGGAAACTCATTTGTGAAATGTATCCCCACATAAAAGCATTTGAGGTGAAACTAGAGCTGCTTTTGGGACAAGAGAAAAAGCACAGCTTCATCCATCTCCCTGCTACACAAAAACCTCTCTGCAGAGAACCCAGCYGTCCCGTTTCCAGCTGAAAAGTGTGTGGAAGCACTGGAAATGCTGAAGACGCAGTTCGGTGTGCGATTCCGTGAACTACAAGTTTACGCAAAAGAAATCCYTCTTTTCCAGAACCCCTTTGTTGCCGACATTGATGAAGCCCCGCCTTCTTATCAGTTTGAGTTGGCCGAGTTACAGAAKTGTGATGTTCTGAAAGACGCGTTCAAGCCCAACAGTCTCATTGACTTCTATGCCACCCTCCCAAARGACACGTACCCTAACATCAGAAAACACGCATTGAAGATGTCCACACTTTTTGGCAGCACACATATCTGCGAGCAAACCTTTTCATGCATGAAACTGCTGAAAACTCCAATGAGATCAAGATTGACAGATGAACATCTGCATCAGTGTTTGAGACTGGCAGTGACTAGAATGGAACCTGACATTCAACTTCTCACCAGCCAGATGCAGGCCCACAGTTCACACTGATGAACAAACAAAGGTAAGCTCACTTTTCTGACTTGAATGAGTCATTCTGACTATAAAAAAGTTTAATCATAATAAAATCTACTGGGATAAAATCCATCTCCACAACCATACTGGTAGTGGATCTGGTTGTGCTGTGTAGGTGCTGTGTCACTTAGTTCAGTTTCTCAGCCTGCTTGCTTTGTAGTTTTCACAGGGAAGTTGATGAGAGAGAGAGAGAGCTGCAAACACAATGTCTACAAGCCTGCTGGAACCTACAAAAGGAGAAGGAACACAGGAACTTTGAGAGCCTGCCATGAGAGCCATTTAAGTGAGATTCTGCTCTGACAACTAAGCTGAACTTGGACCTGTTAAGATTGTGCATGGCACAACAGAAAGTTTATGTTAAATGGACTTTTTTTTCTGTGAAGAACCCAGAGAGGGTTATTTGGTTATTATTTATTTCACAAATAGTGTTGTTTACTTCCTGGATGTTTTCTGTGAAGAACCCAGAGAGGGTTATTTGGTTATTATTTATTTCACAAATAGCGTTATTTCCTGGATTTTTTTTCTGTGAAGAACCCAGAGAGGATTATTTGGTTATTTATTTCATAAATAGTGTTGTTTATTTCCTGGATTTTTTTTTCTGTGAAGA